ATCAATAAGACAATTGGACTTCCTACTTGTTGTTGACAGAATTTACATATAACAACACAATCCATGCATCTATGCAACAAATGCCATTCTATTCAAACTACAGTCATCATCTAAAGTTAGATATGATAGAGCCTTCAAAGTTGACAAATTCAATAGTAGAGGAGTTTGCTACAAAAATGGCTGAACTTCAAGCAACCATGAAGATTCACTTAGAAAGGGCTCAACAACGTTATAAGCTACTAGCAGATGAATTGAGGAAGGAACATCCTCCATTCCAAGTTGGTGACAAAGTATGGCTTCTTCGGCACAATATAAAAACTAATATGCTATATAATAAGTTGGACTACTAAAGCTTGGGACCATTTGTGATTCAAAAATAAATTAATAACATGTATTATTGCTTGGAATTACCTTCATCCATAAAAATTCATTCAGTCTTTTATGTTTCACTTTTGAAAAAATATAAAGAATTGAATATACCAGGTCAAAGACAACCACCACGTCCTATGGTTGGAATCAATGATCGTGTTGAATTTGACATAGAAGAGGTATTAGATTTAAAGATAAGACATAGAAGGTTTGAATATCTAATCCATTGGCACAAATATGATATCAATGATTGCACGTGGGAACTAGCTAGCAATCTTATAAATGTACAAATGAAGGTTTGAAGGTTCCATCAACGACATCCATCAAGACCAAAAGCAACAAAATGAAGAATAATAGCTTAGTAAGATAGCTTTATCATAAAGATTCTTAGTTCTTGGCTTCATAAAGAAGGAAAGGAGGCAACCTTTGAAGAGGTAGTTATTGTCAAATGTTTAGAATAGTATAAGTTAGTAGTTTGAGTTCACAACCATAGCCTGCTTAAATTCTTTTGATCTTGTCTACTTTATATGATATGGATAGTCAAAAAATAAACACCTTGTCGGTTATACCATCTCAACCAAATAGCTTGTGGAGATGACTCAAGATGAAGAGCCTTCAAAACCATGAAGACGTCAAAAGATACCTAATAATAGGTCACTGGTAATTGTGTTTGAGATAGAACCTACCTATCAAGGACATTTAGAAAGAATATTTGGATGATAATTTCATAATAAAGATACCAAAGTTCATGCTTGGTCACAAGTAAAAGGCTTGAGGTACTATCAATAGCTACAAGGACCTATGAACCATTTACCTTGTAAAAAATAACTAGAATATATAGCGGATACTATGCGACAGATCTTCAACTTCTTATGCATATACTAGCTTGCTGTAACATTACTTTTCGGAGACCTTGAAGCTAGAAGAGGAGGTGATGTTATGGACATAAAATTGAAGAAGGTTCTAGAAGGTTCTAAAAGATTCTAGAAAATATCAATAGGTTCTAAGAAGACTCTTGAAGGTTCTAAGAGATTTCAGAAGGTTTCAAAAGGTTCTAATAGATTCTAAGAAAGTTCTAAAAAGTCATAGGAGGTCCTAGAAGATTCTAAGAGGCTTTAGATGATTTAGAAAGTTGATAAAGAAGGATCTTAGGTTTTTTTTATTTTCAGGCTTCATAAAAACTTCTCAAGAAGCTTCCTAGGACCTAATATATATATGAGTCGAGGCTGAAGGGATCCTCACTCTTCACAACTCATTTCTTGTGGTGTAGTTAGGACCTTCTTACCTTGTATCCAATTGTTGTTTTAATGTCTAGCTAATTCCATTTCTTGGTCTTGAATCCTTGTCTTGTATATTGTCCCTAACATGTATTCATAATAATTGGTATTGATTTTAATGAAATATTTACTCTTGAGGCCAAATTCACCACTATTATAACCATTGTGGCAATTGGAATTTTAATGCACTTGGAAATGCATCAAATAGATGTAAAGATGGCTTTCATAAGTAAAAACTTGAAAGATGTCTAGATAAATAAATCTAGAAGATTTGTTGAAAAAGGCTAAGAAGACTTTGTTTTTAAGTTGAAGAAATATTTGTATAGGCTAAAGCAATCATTGACAACATATTGACACATTCTTTATGAATGAAGGATTTTTAAGAAGTGAGACTGATCATTTTATACATGTGATGCAATCAAATGAATTCATATTGATTGTCATTCTTTATTTTGATGATTTCAACATCTTAACTAATATTTTAAAGATGATAGATTAGTTGAAGGTAAAATTTTAAAAAGAGTATGACATGAGTGATTTGGAAGAGCTTTATTATTGTTTAGGAGTAGAATATATAAGAGATTATGCTAAGAAGACCATTACAATGAATCAAAGCAAGTATATTGAAGAGATGTTGAAACAATTCAACATAGAGGATTGTAAGTATATTATAATACTTTAGGAGAAAAATTTGAAGTTAATGAAGCTCATGGATGAGAATTTTGTTGAAGTTGAAGGTCAAATACTAGGTATTCTATATAAAGTAATAATAGGCTTATTTATATATGTAATAGTTGGAACAAGAATGGAACTTATATATGCAGTGAGTGTAGTAAGCTAATACATATTAGAAGTGGTACCAATCCATTGAACAATTATTAAAAGGATTATGAGGTGTTGAAATGGCACTTTGTATTTCAAATTGTACCTTAAAGATAATAACATTACTTTACATGCTTATTATAATTCAAATTAGACCAAAAATATAAATGATAAAAGATCAATAATAGAATATGTATTCTTTGTTGGAGTAGGAGTAATTTCATGGAATTTTAAGAAACAATTAATAATTAAAAAATCATTAATGAAAGTAGAATATATGACAGCAAGCTATGGTGCAATAGAAGCAATATGGCTAAGACAACTATTATAGGACATTGGAGTAATCTAAATAGAAGCAACTCCAATGGAATGTCACAATCAAGGATATCTTGTATTTGCAAAGAATCCAAAGCATCATTTAAGAACTAAGTATATTAATATTCAACATTATTTTATAAATAAAATAAAATAAAATAGAAATAATTGATATAAAGTATTATACAATGGAAGATATGCTTGCTAATTTGTTGACAAAGATATTAAAAATGCATAGATATTACATATTTACAAAGGTATTAGAATTGAAAGCCTTTGATAAATAACAAAGTGAAAGTGTTAAAGTAAGTAAGAAAATATAAAAGTAAAATAATTTATTTTGTAGAAGATATTATTTTAGATAAATTGCTAATGGTCAAAAGATTGACTTTTGATATATAGGAAGGCCAAGAGACAAGGTAGATAAACTGATAAAAGATCTTAAAGATATAAAAGATATGCTAAAGATGCATCTTCATAATAGATAAGATATCAAAGAATGGTCTCAATAGAATGTTGGATAGATGTGTTTATTAAAGGATAGAAGTTATCTATTAGAGCAATAACTACTACTTATAAGTAATAGGTAATAGAAGTAAAAGTTATCTTATTTCATATTTTCTTTGTATGCAATCTTGTTGATGCTATATGTTGTGACTTCAAAGTTCTTTTTCTTCAATATCTACTCTGATATCTTATTTTTTCATAATTTTTTTTAAAAAAATATTAAATATTGATAATAAAGTCAAATACTAGTCTATAAAGTTTTACTGCAATCTAATTAATAAATTGCTAAAAATCTAAGAATTTCTCATTAACCATCAAATTTTAATTTTCAAGGCCTCAATCTACTTAAATTTCAATAACCTTCAATCTAACCATAGAATAGAGTTGAATTTCATTATACATATTAAAAAAAAAAAAAAAAAAAAAAAAAAAAAAAATGAAACCTTCAAAGTTTAATAAATCTACTACAAAATTTTAGATTCTTGAATGATAATCTAAAAATTTTATAAATAATATTTTTTTAAATCTATTATTTACTTTTACTTAAAGATTATATTATTTCTCCTAATATCTCTTTTTTTGTCTTGTTTATAGTCCTAAAAGTAAGTAAAAGCTCTTTTAACAAAAAAAGCAATATGGATAATATTTTTTAAATTTCACCTATTTATTATCATTGATTTTTAAATGATTTTTTTTTCAATAAGACTAAGCCTTCAATTAAGTTCTTTAATAATAATTTAAAAATATAAAATAATTTACTAAAAATATTATTAGTTAAAAAAATTAAGTAAAAATAATATTTTAAAATATTAAATTAAAAAAATAAAATAAAATAAGTATATATGAAAATAAGATTTATAAAAAATATTGGAAAGTGATTTTTTTAAAACTATAATAGTTTTATATTATCTATCAAATTTAATTACATGATGAATCAAAGCTAAAAAAAATTCTAATTTTATCTCCTGAAGTATTCTTTTATTTATTCAACCAAACATAATTTTTATAAATATTGATTTTAATTGAATCCTAAAAATTAAAATTATTTAATATTTTATTTTAGGTTATTTAAAACACATAAAGTATTAATTGAGAGATTCTTAAATTATTATTTTTATTATTATGATTAAATTAAGTACACATTTAGTTTTTATTATTATAAAAAATTTATGGCCTTTGTTGAAACCATGGTATTTTTTGTATCAAAATAAATAATAGTAGTTATTATAAAATTAGATATTTGCTAAGTATTTTATTGCAGATTGATTTATGTTAAAGATAATAATATCTGTTATTGTTATGATTTGAGGGAGTATTTTAAGCACATATTATTTCTAATTGTTATTGTTTATAACAAAGATCATATGTGATGATCTTTTATGCTTCAAAGATAATAATTATTTTTATAATTTTTAATTGTGAAAATAATTACAAAAATTAAATCATTACAAAAAATAATACTCTAATGTTAGAAATTCGCATATATATATATATATATATATATATTCATTGCATTTCAGACTATTATCAGTTTTGTTGAAATGCAAAAGGTTCAGTTTCATTAAGAAAATTGAATTGTTACATTCCTTATATCTTTTTTTTCGACTTTAATCTTTTTATTGATTTTAAGATGACTCAAAGTCCAACAATTGTATTGCCTCGAAATAATGAAGTTCCTCTACTTTTTTTTGTAAGTTTAATAATATCAATAAAGCGTTTACGCAAAAGCATCGTGTGTTATATTCAATGCTCTATCATAGAGAAACAATGAGATATCAATTAAGTGTGACTTTCTGCACTGGGACATTTAAATTTTAATCAACAGTGCATGTTATTTTACAATTATGCATGTGCCCAGTAAGGCGCATTTTTTTTGACGTAAAGCTCTACAGAGCAAAAGATTCTGCCACAGAAGACTGCGCAGACTTGCAAAGTTTGGAGCGTTGAGGGTTATGCAGGAGGTGGTGCTGGAAGAGCACTCTGTCTCTTCAGAGTGGCATATCCAGAGAGCACGGTAGATAATTTCCTGTCACCCTCAAGCACATCCGCGATGGCATCTAATGTTTGCTTCACCAGCTTGGTTTTCGACTCGACCTTCAATGCCAACTTTTCAGCATCTTGAGCTGAAATCTCGGCAACATGAGCCATCGCTTCTATATCCTCTGCCACTTTCACCACCAGGCTTGCTCCCGCTTCCACTAAGTCAGCGACTTTATCAATATCCCCTGAACAAGTCACATATTTTATCATATATTAAGCTACATTGGTTATTTTCTTTTTGTCGTTTCTCTTTCTTTTTGCAATGTGTGGTTCTCACGACACCATGCCCTACCCCTTACAATTGATGCCTTCATGGTACTAGAAACATTGTTCTATGATCTAAAAACTCCAGAACTGCATGAGAAAGATTGATAGCAACTCACTTTCGGCTTGTTTTACGTAAGGCGTATAACCACCACAAATCTTTATAACGTAGCTCAATCTGCAACCAAAATGATCACAGATATACTGGTTTTTACTTGTAATTATCTAAGCCGAGGACGCTCTGTAGTAGAACAGCTCGTAGATAATTAACACACAAATACTACTGATGTTCTTGCAATGGAGCAAATCAAAAGAACACGAATTATCTCCTGGAAACTTACACAGACGAGAAAATGCTGAACCTCAAGGTGAAAACACCAGAACGGTCTGAAGTCTTACTTTCACCCTGTTTTAGATCCCTGCATCGGTCGACAATGTCATCCATTAGCATGAACAAAGAAATCCGTTCATAACTCTTGTTACATGCTTCGTCTTAGTAGGTATTTGGACGCAGTCCGTAGTTTTGGATAGGCGTTCAGTTAACTCGAACACCCTTTGCTTGCGAAACCACTTTCGCAATTTCCTTTCATTCTTACCTGGAGCCATCTGCTCGACATAGAGAGCAAACAGATGTTGATGCAGCTGATTCCGAGGGGCTCTCGGATGTGATACCATGGGTTTCATGATCGCGGACACTGAGGCTCGCGGAGCACGTATCAGAGCTGGGAGTCATGGTGGTCGCCAATCGTAAGCACGTTGCGGTGAGAGGCTCGGATAAGTTAGCCAAGTTCGATACTGCAGTTACAAATATCCGGCCGACGTTGATACTGGTAAACTCTTACATCACAGACTAGAGGTCAATACTCTCACCAACTCTGATTCAAACCATAATGGTTGTAATAGTATTCCAGCAACTACTGAGGTAGTCGAGGCTAGGCTTGTGGATCACAATCTTAAAGAGGATTAATAACTACACAATAGAAAGGTTACAACTGATTGTGGGAAGGGTGGAAATGACATGAAATAGAGCCAAGATGAAGTTCAGTTGGAAATCATACGATGAATTGAGAAATGGGAGCTTAAGAATGGAGAGGGGATGTTGAAGCACATACAGCGAGAAGTTATGGAGGAGAAAACGCTTGTAGAAGAAGGAGAGTTATTTAGTGCTTAGGTTTGAAGGTTGCTTTGGAAAGTGTGAAGTGAAAGTCAAGTAAATAATGGCAGTGTTCCGCTTCATACTTTATTTTGGCTGTCATTTTCCTTTCATGTTAAGCTCCACTAGCCCTGAACTGCCGCGTTTCGTAACTTCTATGAAAGATGATTCTTGCTCTATTCTTTTCTACCTTCAAAGATTTTTCCAGGTGTCTTCATATTTTCTTGCTTCAAATGCGAAGTAAATCAAAAGTCACCTCATGAATGGTGAAAGCATCTCACACAAGTTGCGTGATCGTGAGTACGCGGGCCTTGGAAAACCTGTATCAATATAGCACCACAACTTGGACGTACAGCTGCGCACGAGGCCATTTTCAATCTACAACGCAGAGAACAGTAACACAACAGGACATGAGGTTGGACTCTCTTTTCAGTTCGGCCTTCGTAGCTATGAACTTTCAGTAAGTCTTTCCCATGACAATCGACGAGGGAAAACGATGTGTATATGAGAAATCTCCGCTGAGACGGACCATTCTCAGAAAACTTGGCGTAAATCCAAAGCGCAACAGAGACCAATTCGAATAGTTGCATCTGGGAGTGAAATCACGGAAGAGAAAAGGACAGCGGCAAGGGAGCAGAAATTGGAATGAAGTGGAAGAGACGCACAGGGAGAGGGAGGTGAATGGAGCGGATTGCGCAACAATCGAGTTTGTTGCAAAAAGGGGAGGGGTCCATGTGCATCCATCCTTTCGTTCCTGGAACTTGGTAGATTAGGAGCTACGCAACAACAACGCTTGCAACAGAAGCAGCAGGAGCTCCATGTGGCCAGGCATTCATCCAAATATCCATCCATCCATGTAGATCTTCATCCATCCAATCCAGGTCTCACGAGGAGAGAGCAGAAGGAACGCTGGATGAGTGGGGGAGGGGAGGACATTGATGGGTGACGTAGACAATCATGTAGACTGTTAACATAATAAATATTATTGGAAAATTTACAAAAGCTACATTTATAAAATATATATATATAGTTAAATTTTTATAGTAGGGTAAGAAGATCACCCAAATATTTAACCATTGTTGAGATCTTTATAATCATAATCAATATTTGAATGGCACAAGGTGTAGTACTTTCTTTCAACAATATCACTAAGTATTGAGAGTGTCTCCTAAGATTGTGATACCATATACATTATATCTTGACATCTATTCAAAGGAGAACATGTGTGTCTTAAGGATCGACATCTCAATTTTGACATTAAATAGGCTGAAGTAATCTAAATACTTCATTTAAGAATTCTACAATTAATAACTTTTAAAACACATCAAGAGATTGTAAGCTATTAATTTTGTTAAATACTTCTAAAAATTAATCCTTAAACTTATTTCTTCTTGTTTTGTATCATTTTTTAAAAAATTGGTTATTGGTTTTAATTGATGTTACTTATAAACAAATAAATAAAAATTAATTCTAATACATATATATATATATATATATATATATAAGATTTATAAATGGATTTTATGCTAATTTATTAGTATAATATTTTTACCAATTAAAAAAATATTCTAATTTATTTTAGTGTTACTTAATACTTAGGTTTACTTTTTTAAACTCTTTATTATCATTTATTTTGATAAAAGATAGCGGTAATTTTTTTTTCTTTTTGGTATGTTTAGTATAATGTAAGATACAATAATAAAAATATTTATTATTTGTGGTAATTAAAATTAAAATATAATTATATTAATATTCTTTTACATAAAAATAAGCTAATTTTTTAACAATCTAATTTGTTATCAAGTCAAATAGTCTTAATATCTTTAATAAGTGGATATAACTTATCATCAACTTTGAATAGTAATTGGTGATTATTTTTTAAAAAAATATCTATATTACATTTTTTTTAATTTCTTATGTTATATCTTTACTATTGTATAAGTATTTCCTATTCTACATGCCAAATCCTCTACTATTAAATTTTTAACTTATGAAAGACCAAAAATATTAAAATCATAGATGATAATTATAATTTATAAAAAAAATATTCTTGATACAAAAATTTATTATACTATATATATATATATATATATATATATATATATTATAGCTATAGATTTGTCCTATATTCTTTATGATAATTAATAGTACATTATAAATATTACTCAAATACTTCATTTATATATTTTATTGATCTCTCAATTTAATAATAAGAATCTTAAGACATGTTAATATGAACCTTTAATATGTTATAAATCATTTTTAAAAACCTTGATTAGAAATAATGTTAATTAAAATTTTATATTATCAATAAATATTAAGTGGTTTTTTTAATTATTTCTTAACTAGTATTAGTTTTGTGTAATGTATTAAATAAGTCTTTTTTATATGAAATTCTACTATCACAAAAATAAAATAATAAGTATTTGAGATTAGAATTTCTATAATGAAGTATCATAAAATAGATTATTAAAAAGCTCAATAAGGTCAATAATAATAAGAATTTGAGATTAAAAGATATTGAAGAAGTCTATAAGATTAATAATACAAATTCTTTGCTCAATGAATTTACAAAATTAGATAAATTATTTTATAACATTTTTAATGTTTGAAGCCACCAAAAAGTTTCTAATATAAGTTCTAAAGTTTTATTATTTCCAAAATATTTGACTATTAGAAAGTTGTGATAAATTTGAAGTACACATAATTGTATTACATCTTATAAATTTTATAAATGGTTATAATAGTAAATAAATAAACAAATAAAAAATTTCTTAAAATAAAATTTATTATAGTTATTATAATTTTTTTTAAGATCTAAAACAAGAGTGCAAAGTGACGTATTTGAGGAAACTTCATCAAAAAAGTAACATAAATTAGGATTTTTGGCTTTATACCAATAAGATGTTGTTTGAACTTTAAAATGGTTTGTTATTAATAAAATTTGGCCTCTTTGTTTTTTGTTCCAAATACAAACATCTAATTATAATATTTGACAAGCCTTGTTATTATTTAAATTAAGATGTAATTTTAAATATTTTTTTTTATAAATATATGTTTTAATAAATTCTGAAATAATTTAAAATATTTACTAACTTATAATAATTAAAATTCTTGTAATCGGTAAATTTTTGTAATCAATAAATTTTTTAAGAAGTACCTTTTAGGTAATGATATTATTTTTAAATTAAATTTTCTATAGCTAAATGTTCTTTGCTTAAGATTTCAGAATTAAAACTTTGCTAAAAAGAAATATTTTAGGTGAAAAAATTATGATGAGGTCTAAAACTTCTATCTAATTGTAATAAAGTTCAATGTGTTTGATTTTATAAAAAATAGCTTCAAAACATTTAAATCGAACAAAATAAGAATTAATATAAATATTATTTTAAAACCTTAATTGAGACATTTAAGAATTTTTCATTAAAAAATCAAGTAAAGAAACTTAAATTATATATATATATATATATATATATATATATAAAATCTTTTAAACCCTATAAAGAAATTTATTAAAAGAACAATTAAAGGATTTAGAAGATACTATAAGGCCTTTACAAGATGATATCATATAAGAATTCAAGTACATTATTTGTAATATTATTTAGAATTTTTTTTAATATATTTAATATTTTTAGGATTATATTTTTTATTTTTTAAATTAATCTATTCTTAGAAAAATATTGAGCAATATGTTTTAATAAAGGCACAATCTTTCTTTTTGGCATAAAAAGATTTTTGTATTGAAAATTGTTTGAAGTATATGGTATCAATTTTAATCTCTTCCATGTATAATTATATCTTAAGACATAAAATTATCTATAAAAAAATTATAAAAATTTAAGATTCTAATTTTTTAAATTTTTTTGTAATTAAATTCTTAATTTTTTAATTCAGTTATAAAATTATTTATTTATTCTATATTAATATGTATTAATCAATAATTAAATAGATTGATCTACATACATTATATTTAGATTATATTATATTTTTTAAAAAATTAATTTATAAGTGTAATTTTTTTTTACTTGATATCAAATATTAGTTGTCAAAATTCTAATTTATACTTTGATATAAAGTAGTCTATTAGAAAACTTATAATATTTTTGGTTGATATACAAATTGAATTATGGTTTTCTTATGTAAATTAAAGTCTTATTAATGATGCATTTAAATTATTCAATATAGGATCTTGTTATCTTATAAATAATAAGAGTTAATATAATATAAATCAACATAATAAAACTTAGATCAATCTAACCTAAGTTTAGATTTGATGATTAAATGTCATTTAAATCAAGTAAAATTTTTCTTTTCTTGTTTTAAACTATATAAACCTAATAAGAATTTTTATTAAAAAAATATCATATAATTCCTATCATTAGCTTTTAATTGATAGAATTGTTAAAAATATAAATTTAAATTATTTAGATAAAAAAATATTAAGATAATAGAGTCTATTTGATTATATAAGTATGTCCTAGAATTTTTTTAAAATTATAAATTTCAAAAATCTTAATTAGTCTTGAAGGCAATCATCTTAATTGATTTAGTATCTTTTTTTATTGTTAAGTATCATTATTTAGTTATTGAGACCAATGCCTAAATTAAGTTTCTACAAATATTAGTTAGTAGTTAAAAGAAGCATGAAAAAGAACCTCATTTTTTTTTAAAAAAAATATAGAAATAAGATTTTTAGTTGATTTAAATTAAATTTATTACTAAAGTGTCCTAAAATTGATATGAGAAATATAAAATATTATGTATATTTTTAATTTATATTTTGAATTTACTTAGAATTTTTTAGAGATCTTAAGAGTAATTTTTAAGACTT